TGAGCCCCCAAGTAGGGCTTGTGAGAGGAGTCCCGAGAACCAGGGGCTGAGGACTGTAGTTTCTCATGGCCGCTTGTATTTGAGGCACGACCTCCAATGTGGACCACAGGCGGGGAACCCAGAAGGGGGAGAAATGATCAGAACTTCTAGTTATAGTTATTTTTATCTAAAAAATTAGCACTGCTAATATTTTAATATGCAGTAATACGTGGGTGTCATTGAGGATGAACATACATGTAGCAGGAGGAGAGTGCGTGCTCAAAAAATGTGCCCAGTAGGAATCTACGAGTTTAAAGGTCGTAAACTACTGGTTTGGAGGGTCAGAGGCCTCGTTCCTGAGGACTGTATCCTGCCACATTGGACGAAGCCTGCTAGACCCAGAACCCTGCCCTCTAGTTAGAGGAAGAAGTCCGCACCCTGTAGGGCAGAGGAGCTGCCTCGGGCAATCCTGCGGCCCAGTGCCAGCCCTGGACAGATCACTGTAATTCAAAGATGAATTTCACCGCAGGGGGTGGGAGGAAAGTGAGGAAGGGAGAGAGGACATGAGGGGAGGGGATCCTAAGGAGGCCTTTGAAACAGACCTGCAGCGTTAGGAAAGAGGGAAATAATCCTGGAGATGCGGGAGAGTGTATAATTATGAGGAACAAAAAGCAACCTCAGGAGATTGGTGGGCATCCCTCACAGGGAACAAGCAGATGTGGGCTCTGTGATGGAGAGGGTGGGGAGATGGGGAAGGAGAACGTGTCCATCTCACACAAGCACGGGGTTCCAGAAAACTGAAATTGTTTTAGCAGAAAGAAAACCCACATCGGGGGCACTGAATTGTTAAGAAGGTGGAGGACCAACTCCAAAGTTCTCTCTGAATGTAGAAGACAAGAACAAAGACATGAGAGAAGAGGGTGAATGGCACCGAACTGAAGGCTATAGAATTAAGACCAAATCCAAGAATTAGAGTTCGTTTTGGAGGAAGAAACCAGAATAATTTGGATAAAAGCGTCATCAAGAACATGCACGAAGAAAACTTTTCCAGAAGTGGCCAGCGGAGGGGTAGTGGGGAGGTTAAGATCAGGCAGATCAGAAAGGCTTTCCGTTTTCCAGTTAGAATGGGGTGGGGCGGGGGGGCTGGAAAATTTTCTGAATCATGAGGTTAAGCGATCTAGAAGCACGCAGACAACACAATGCAGACTTTTCCTCAGGAACCCTAAGTCCCAGGAGACATGGGGGTTGCAAACCCTCTAATTAAAAAGTTGAGAGAGAAGGTTAGAAAGGATTAGTAGAAGCATGCTAAAGTCATCATCTTAGGCAGAAGAGAATTTAAATAGCCTTATCCCTAGATTGTAATAATCAGAGCAGTATAATTTAAATCACTTTTAAACCTAAAGGTAACCACAGATAGAATTTTTAAAGTATAACAATATTGATAACAATAGCACCAGCCAGGTATTATTTCACTTAATCCATACCACAGCTCTGTGAGGTGCAGGGGTTAGTATGATCTCCATTCCACATGCGGGGAAACTGAGGCACAGAGAGGTTAAGCAGCGTGCTTTGGGTCACAGAGCCAGGGTGCGGCAGACCGGAGGCCCCGGCAGCCTGCCTGAAAGCCTCGCTTTTATCTTCCCCGAGAATGTGTACTTTCCACATCGCTGGCTGAGACACACAAACATCAGACAGCAAAATGAAGGAAGTAGGAAGGAAGAATTTAAAAACGGAATGCATGAAACAATGAGAGAAAACCAAACTTAACATTTATAACAATCAACAAAATTTTTTCCTCCCGTTAGAAGACAATGCCTCTCACTTAAAGAGGACTTAAAGGCAAAATTTAATTTCATGCTGTTTACCAAAGAGGTACCCTAAATGGAAGAACCAAGAAAAATAAATGAATACCAAAGATTTATTAGGTAAGGGCAACTGAGTAGAAATCATCATTTTAAATCAAGTTGAATTCAA